ATGACTTAATAAGTCATTTGGGCTTAGTCTAGACTGAACCATGATTGAGAAATAAACCTCAAAGAAACACTTGAAAGAAAAAAATTAAAGTTAAAAACCTGAATACGTCAAGAAATGACAAGGATCTAAAACACTATAAAAAACTAACAATACAAACAAAAAGTTTCAATACAAAAACAGGAGCAGCCGAATCTTAAAAAAATTATTTTATATCTCACATACATTAAAAGAGTACAGAGACTTTCAAGTCCTGTTAATCCAATGGAAAATCAGACACTAATGTTCTAATTTCCCCCAAAGAATATGCCAGATAAAACTATAAAACATTAAAATTATGAAAACTTTTGCTCCAAACAAGAGACAAAATTACTACAATAGTTACTGAGGAACGTATACTATTTCAACAACAAGTTGAAGTTTAATTATCATAAATGAGTATGTGTGTCTTTGTATAGGTAAAAATGATTTAGGAGTCACCCCCTCATTGAAAAGTAGCAAAAATATAGTCAAGAAAAACATCATTTGTTTCTTGAAACAAAAGAAAGGTAAGTATCAAGGTACTATGTCCAAGTGTCAATACTTGAAAAAAAGGTAAACCGCCAAAGTATACGAAAAATTATGAATATCAATTTCATACAATTCAGAAAAATGGATAAATCGCAAAATGATTTACTCCAGATAACTCTAGTCAGTAGATTATTGCCATCAGAATGAAAACAAATGATCAAAAGTTCAAGTACAGTCAAAAATTCAAAAAGTAAATACATTTGGGGAAGGCAAAAATAATTTTGAAAGTAAATTTCCTACGTACCAAACATCATGAGAGCTATATCAGTACACCAGAGATCCAACAATTAGGCTATATATGCATACATGAAAAGTCTCAAGAAATCAAAAAAACTGCACATGAAGAAATACTTTCAAAAACTAAGAGGTTAGTGATCAAAAATGAAAAGCATATAAGAATATGTAAACTATCAACAACAATAGTCACAACCTCAATCAAAAGTTTGATGATATTCGACAAAAAAGCTGGGAAACCTAAAGTCCCCAGACTATCAATATTCAACAACAAAAAAAAATATCAAAATATCATCAATCTCAAAAGTACAATGAGAAAAAAGTTATAACTGTCCCCAGCAGTAAATAAAAACTATAGTAGTATGTGAGAAAAAAAATTCTGGCAATGATCTCGCTGACTACTAAACAAGACAATTTAAAAGTTAATAGTATGCCTATGAAATAAACAGGTGGAAAAATTTTAATCTTTTGATAAAAATTTTAAACATTAAGCAAAAAGTAAGGATGATTAAGGAATTAGAAATTTGAGTACCAAAAGCAATTAAAAATAGAAATGCTGCCAAAGATTGTAAAGAATTTTGAAAACTATGTTCTGTTTGCCAATCTTCCACTAGCAAACCACTTGTCGACAAAGCCAAACACCTATCGAAGCCCCACGTTGCGGGTGCCAATTTATGTAACGCTTCCTTTCCGCAAAAAGTCCAGAAAAGATGGAATGCAATGAAGATTCCAACTTTTCTGCACAATCACAGAAAGGGGGTTACAATTAGCTTCCGGTAGCTCAGTCGGTGGCATGAAGACATCTACAGGCGTGTAGCTGTGTGTCGACCATGGCATGGCTAGAGGATAGAAGAACAAACAGAACACAAAAATTTAACAGATTTTATTTAACAAAAAAAAGGCATTGTCATTACATTACAATTTTACAAAAATAACAAAATAAGTTTTACATCTTTGGCGCTGCTATAACGCTATCGACTTATCTTTCGCTGGTCCATTTTTACTCGACTGAAGCCAGGATGGCCAGGGGTTTGAAGGGGAGGTCCCAGTTATGAGGGGTGACCTCCATATGGTGGCTTCATAACCAGTTGTAGGCGAAGTTAAAAGCGATGGCGCTGCCAAGGCACATGCATGGGTGAAAATATTGGCCAAGGCTAGGCAAAGTGAAAGGGAAAGAGAAAGGGGGTGGCCCCAATCTGAAAAAGAACCATGTGCATTAGCAACGTGCCCTAATGGCCAAGGCATTTCCAATCTCAGTCTGCCTCAAAAGAGAACCAACGATTTTCTAGGTTAGAATTACATTATATAGTTTGATAAAATCAAACCGAAAATTGGAAATGCCTTTCATAAAATAAAATCATGAAATAGCAAAAAAAAAAGTGTAGAACAAGATGGTGGTCATCAAAAATTTCTCCACATGCTTCTGATATAAAAACATAATCATCGAATATTCATAATCAACGTACTTATAATTTCACTGAACTATGAATATATATACGCGCACAGAGGTAAAATCGATGTGGATCGATTTCCACCTCGATTTGATTAAAGTTATGGCGAATGATCGAAGTAGTCGAAAATGACGTTCGATGGATATTTTAAAATCGTACAAGAAATAAATCACTTACATATCGATTATCTATAAACTACAGGCAGATCCAGCAATAAAACTGTATAGTATTATAAAACTCACCATTTTTGTCCTATACGGACACACACTCTAGAAAATTCTAGCACATGGTGCTATATAACCTGGTGCTACTGAGAAGAAATTTCTAGCCGTTGTTCGATCGGCGGCTCAAGTGAAAAGGAAGCGCGAGGAAGATCGCAGATCAGGAACTCCGCATCAAGCGCTCCAAGCGGAAAATTTTCCAAGCAAAAAAGCTAGAGATGGGATTAATGAAATGATAATCGAGAAGTGATTTAATAAATACGATCGGACGGTGAAACCGTTACACATTGAAGTCAGTTTATTTTGCTCTATGTCACTTTTTGATATCAAATGGTATCTTAGTTTGGGGTCAAGGTGCAGACTGGCATCGACTATTCCTTTGCAGAGGCGGCCAATTAGAATATTGTATACACTGAAGTATACTCAACGATTGCACACAAACATTCAAAGGATTGAGGATCCTCACATTGGCTTTGATATATATATATATATATATATATATATCTATATATATATGTATATATATATATACAGGGTGACTTTGAAGTTGAGTCATTAATTTTCAGATAATGATTGTAGAAGGAAGATAAACCAGAATATGTGTGTAAAAATAAAAAAAAAATAAAAAAAAATTTTTACCTTGTTTTATAAAGTATCCTCCCGACAAGTATTTCAGTGCGGACCTGTATTTGATCGTGAGGTCCCCTGTGAGGTCTTCAAGTCACCTGATTCACGAGCCCGTTGTACTACATTAACAAAGGCACGAGGGGTTGGTTGCGCTCGATTGAGAAACCGATCCGCATAAACATGTGCCATTTTTTATTTCGTTTGAGCCACGCAACAGACACTATTCACACGCTAACCGACTGTATGTATAACTGAACTGAATAAAATACTTAATTGCAAAAACGTCGTTCCAAATTCTTTCGCTTTTTTGTTTCCGATGCGATGAACCGGTAAGGCGGATTATATCCGTTGTTGCCAAACACGAGTACATGATATTATTATTGAGACAGGGCGGTACTCAAACTTCCAAAGGGCTATAACTTTGTTACTTTAATTTTACCAGAAAAATGGTAAAGGAAAAAAACATTTCTTTTGATCAGATCTACTCACTGTTAAAATAAATGACTCAACTTCGAAGTCACCCTGTATATAGGGTGACTTCGAAGTTGAGTCATTTATTTTAACAGTGAGTAGATCTGATCAAAAGAAATGTTTTTTCTTTAACATTTTTCTGGTAAAACTAAAGTAACAAAGTTATAGCCCTTTAGAAGTTTGAGTACCGCCCTGTCTCAATAATAATATTATGTGCTCGTGTTTGGCAACAACGGATATAATCCGCCTTATCGGTTCATCGCATCGGAAACAAAAAAGCAAAAGAATTTGAAACGCTTATCACGATGTTTTTACTACAATTTTATTCAGTTGTATTCAGTTAATGTGTCAGTCGGTAACGCGTGAGTGAATAGTGGTGTTTGTTGCGTGACTCAAACGAAATAAAAAATGGCACATGTTTACGAAAATGCTGAACTTTGGACATGATTGTTATTTACGGGGGGGAGTCTTTACAAAATGCTGCCGCGGCATCACGGATTTTTGCGGATCGGTTTCCCAATCGAGTGCAACCAACCCCTCGTGCCTTTGTTAATGTAGTACAAAGGGCTCGTGAATCAGGTGACTTAAGACCTCACAGGGGAGGGCATGCCGGTGCTCCAAGACCGCAGGATCAAATACAGGTCCGCACTGAAATACTTGTCGGGAGGATACTTTATAAAACAAGGTAACATTTTTTTTTTATTTTTTTTTATTTTTACACATATTTTGGTTTATCTTCCTTCTACAATCATTATCTGAAAATTAATGACTCAACTTCTAAGTCACCCTGTATAAGCACTGATATATGCTAAGCAGCATTTAAATTGCCGTGAACATACCTCACATACTGACTATGATACAAGGAGTGCTGGGAACTTGAGTATTCCTTTTGTAATATTATCAAAAGTACATAAAAGTTTAAAAATTATAACACAAAAATACTTCAATAAATTACCACTGCAAATTAGATCCTTAAATTTAAATGCCTTTGAACAGACAATAACAAGTTTCCTTGCTGAAAGTGTTTACTATTCATAGCAAGAGTTCTTGGACTTTAAATTTTAATATATGCTTTGTCTGTTATTGCTTTTTACATTGTTTTTATTATTTTACTATATTTTTTACACCCGCATTTAAATTCTTATGTATCTATAGTCGTACACATTTGTGATCTGAAATCGACTACTATTATGCGAATTCGATTATCTATGTACTTATACTATAAAACTTACACCAATACACCAATTAAATATTGTATTGGATCGTGAATAATAGTTTGTTCGTAAATTCGTAGTTTTTCAACATTTGTGATCTGCTCAATAGTGACTTTGTGTTTGAGGAACAAGTGCTTATTTATGCACTACTAATTCGAGTCAAAGCAGTCCCAATACCCTGAATCAGAAAACTTATTTATTTTTGGGACACCTACCTAGCAGATCTTGCTGGGGAAGCCATTTTGCCAGTTTGATATTATCCGGTTTACCAGGAATCGCGTCTTCATCCCATTTCCATAATACTTTCTGCTTCAATTTTCCAAATGCCTTTAGAATAATTTGTTTCCTTTCTTCGTCCATCTCCGATGATTTAACGCAAGATCCTAGACTGAAATATACAACACCATCTGGTGCGCTGTTCATGAACTCCTAAAAATGTCATAAGACCTTACATGACTCTTTCTACAACAATTTATAAGAAAAACATGAAATTATACCATAAATACTTTCCAAAATGCCAGCTTTTTGAACAAAAAAAATTGTACTTATACGTGATTCAGGTATATCTCAATAGCCAAAAAAGACAACGCTTTTCAAAAATTATTTCCTCTACTTTATGAACCACTCAAGTTAGCAAGCTGAAATTTGGGTCCTAGTTTTTGTGACAACATATTTAATATTTGCCTATGTTCAAATGCAAGCGTTTTTGATCTATAATGTTAAAAAGCCCGCTGAGGTGTCCGAAACGTTAGTATAAACTTGAGCCTGTATATGTGGTTTCATTTTAAGGCCAAGTATCATGGACAACTTTCTGCACTAAAATCATTGGATATTTTCAAAATGTTACAATAAGCAGTGATCAATCGGATTTTTTTACAAGGAGCTGGAGCACCAATTGAACAAGTGTATTATTAAAAAAATGTAAATTAGATGTAGCCTTATTGTATAGCGAAGCATATACAGGGAGGCGCATCGAAAACGAAACAGACGCATTTACTGGCAGCTCAGTTTTTTTTTTGAAAAACGCTCAGACCCGTCGATTTTGTTTTCGATGGGGACACAAGTTGGGCAAAAAATCACGTTAGCACGTGCAGTATATCAAGCTTCGTAGTAATATTTACCTGAAGTTCCTGCGGCAACGTATTGGGAGGTTTTACGTGATATCCGCCGATGTGTATCATATTCGGTACCATCGGTACCGGTTGATTGACGCTCTCATGGGAGTTGCAAAGAATCAATGAAACGTTGTACAAAGCACTGTCAAAGTCGAATTTGCTCGGAATGAGCTGTTCGGCGATCTCTTTTTGCTTGGGATAGAATATCAGTCGCAGGTTAATGTACGCCGCAGATGTCATCACAAGATTCCAGGTTCTCTGGAACAGGTCCATTTCGATGGGATAGTTTGAAGTATAATCAGGAACGTAGGATGGCGGCGAGGGATTGCCCACTAATCCGTTAACCTGAAATATTATTTTAAATCGAGTCAACTCTGCCGAGATATCTACAGAACTTTGCGGTTATATCTCGCACTCCTAATTCGATACTGCCGTAATAGCAGATGAGTTTTGAGGTGAAATGGCTTCTGGAAGATTAACCAGTACATAAAAAAAGCCAGTGACTTAAAACCTGGCAAGTTTTCCCTTAGAGGAGTAAAAATAAAAATATTCTCTACGCCAGTTGCTTCGACTTCCTACGCCAACTGGCGAGAAAGTATTGTAAATATTTCGAAATTGAGATATTATGTTTTTTGAATGCTATATGACATGTACATAACGAAAAAGCATGTCACTCATTTCTGTCGGTTTCCCTGTCTGTCTATCTGTCCGCTAATCCGTGACCCCTCTGTAGCTTGGAAAGTACTGCTCGAATTTTGATGAATATTTCACACAAGTTTGCTACTAGGGGTGTCAATCCCGAATGATTTTCGTAATCCCGGGATTTTCGAAGATCGGTATGTCTATCCTGGAATCCCGGGAACAATCCCGAAAAAAAAATAATTTAAAAATTGAACTTTTACTTCTCAACAAAAAAAATTAACTAAAAAAATCCAAAGAACTTAACAAAGCATAAATACTACAAATGTCATAATAAAGAATTAAGTGAGTGATACTTTGGTAAATAAATATGATATACAGGGTGTAAACGTTATGATAGTCATTATTTAAATGGGTGATATGAGTATCAAATAAAATGGATTGATGAAAAAAATAAAATAAGCAGAGTGAAGTAATTCTAAATCCAATAAGGCGACCGCTCCAAAATGGCGTTTATAATTATCATAGTATACAGGGTGTAAACGTTATGATAGTCATTATTTAAATGGATGATAGAGGGGATTAAAAGAAGCAAAAAGTTTCGTATAACATGGGGGTAAAAACGGCATTTTTTTAGAGAAAAGCGACTTTAAATTGAAATAAAATATGACAACGCCGCAATGCCAGACGCAGATTACGACGGAACGCAGTGTAAATAAAGATGGAGTTTGTTATTTTTGGCTCTTAGGTATTATTTCAATATTTGATAATGTACTCGGAAAATGCAAACAATTAATAAAAACGGACTTACTACTAACTGTCTCAGCGCTTCACCTGGTATAAGAAAGTTTATTGAACGTATTAAAAAAATCCACGTATAAATAGGGAACACAATTTTAATGCATACATTGTTTTTCTTTTTAAAACCCACACTGCGCTTTTTTGTATTGAAAGAAGGTGTTTAAAATGTCGTCCTCCACTTTCCAATTACGACGAACCCAGTTTCTTCTTACTCTAGGTCCTCGAAGTTGTCCATTTATTATTTCAGCCGCATTAAAACTTTTTTCGCGAAGTTGTGCTTCAGTTATTATTGGACCAGCCCCATAAACCATCCCTTTAAGTTCTCCCCAATACCAGAAATCCATCGGATTGAGGTCAGGAGGTTTTGCTGGCCATTTTCGAGGATCAAGAGCATGTCGACCGATCCAGCGATTTGGATAATGTTCATTCAAATACTGAAGGACGCCTGTAAAAATGTGTGGTGGTGCCCCGTCATGAAGAAACCACAAATTCTGTATCCGTTGTAATGACTTGTTGCCCAGCGTCTGTTCCAAAAGTTCTGGTAGGTTATTGGCTAGAAAGCTAAGGTATCCTTCTCCTGACAACTTGGGGGGTAACTCGAAAGGGCCAATTACCTGATCGTCAAGAATACCCGCCCAAATATTTATTTTAAAACGTTGTTGGAAATGACCTTCACGAATGGTATGAGGATTTTCTTGGGCCCACGTAAGAGTATTATGGAAATCTAATATCCCGTCTCGCGTAAAAGTCCATTCGTCCGTCGCTAGAATGTTTTTAAAAAAATCCGGATTTTCAATGTTTTTGTGCAAAAATCACTGACAGAATGTTAGTCTGCGAGGATAGGCTTCTGGTAACAAGGCCAGCACTCGTTGTACATGGTAGGGATAAAGCAAATTTTCCTGCAGGATTTTATGGACTATGGTATACGATAGTCCTACGCGGCTGCCTAATTCCCGAGTGCTGATATCTGCATTGATTTCCACGATATTTAAAAGTTGTTCCTCCTACTCTACAATAACCTGTCTTTCACGAGTGCGAATATTTGTGGGCTGAACACTTCCTGTATCTCGAAGTCTTTGGTACACTTACACAAATGTCCTTCTGTCTGGGTGTACCCGTTGGCGAAATCTATCGCGATAAATTTGAGCTGCAAGATTTAAATTCTGACGAGCTTCACCGTAAATTAACAACATGTCGGCGAACTCTTGATTCGAGAAATAAGTAAACACGACGACGTACGCGAACAATAACTAACCACTGTTACCGTTTGCGATCGATTGCCGGTTCGATAAGAGTGATGAAAGATCGACGCGCTGTTGCCATGTGTGTTTTAAATATTTAATTTAATGAAACTTACTTACTGACTACAAATTTTGGCTTAAGTTATAAAAACTTAATGCCATTCATTTGTTAATTACCCAATTTAAAAACGTGTTAGATTAGATTATAAAGATTAGTATGATTGTGGTGATTGTGGTCGATATGAAGCGCTTAAAGTTGAAAACTATAAAGCCATTTAGACAAAAATCTATTGAGTTTTGAACCATGGATCATATGAATTTTTTGACTTATTCTGACCCCCCTATTTATTACCCATTTCAATAATGACTACCATAACGTTTACACCCTGTATAAAAATAAACATTATTTGATCTTTTTCTGTAATAAACAATAACTAAAAAACATTCATAAAAACTAGGAATGAAAATTCAATTATAAGTTGTTAAAATATGATCGCAAAAATATGAGTGCGCTTAAGGTTTCGTCTTTTACCCTTGAACGGATTTTATTACATATGAAAGGTTGAGAAATCTACAGAGCAATATATGTAAATTGACCTAAACATACCTTAGTCCAAAAGTTGATAGTTTGCGAGATACAGGGTGTCAAAGTTCAATAGGTCAATTCACATATTTTGGTCTATAGTATCTCCAGTTTCGAGATATCCCAACCTTTCGCAGGCACCCTGTATATCCTTAAGAAGAAAAGCATATCTCAGACTCTACACTAGTGGACTGAATTGTTGACGGATAATTGTATGCTTTTTGAAGCAAGCTGCCACGATTTCCACCATTTAAAAAAATATTACTTTCTTTGCTAAGTATCGCAGATAATACTTTGGTCTTCTTCTGTTTTGATTCTGAATGTGTAACTATTGCTTTTTGAAGTTTGATATCCAACGGTTCATAAATATCAATAAAAAATTCATAAAATTATATACTAAATATACTAAGTGACATATATATATCCGAACACCCAGTTTAAATGATTTTATTTTAATAAAATTTTGTATAAGTACTTAATGAAGCATAATAAGTAAATGATAAAAATTTCAAAATGATTGCACTGCTTTAAAGCCCTTTGACCTTTAATAATATGTGGATGCACCCTGATGTGCTACGCATTCTCCAACGCGCCTAGGCATGCTTCTGATCAGGTGGTCAATGTCCTCCTGTGGTATCTCATTCCAGGCAACCACCAACTCCTCTCGAAGTGCTTTTAGAGTCTGAGGAGGACGTTGCAAATTGAGCAATCTCCTACCCATCATATCCCACACGTGCTCAATTGGGGATAAGTCGGGAGATCTTGGTGGCCATGGTAACAATGTGACATCATTATGTTGAAAGAAGTCTATTGTGACTCTTGCAATATGTGGTCGGGCATTATCTTGTTGGAAAGTTGGATCTGCCAGGGTGTCAAGATAGGGTAAAAGATGGGGTTCTAGAACTTCGTGGATATAACGCTGCGTGTTCATGTTACCTCTGATGAAGATTAACGGTGACCTGGAACCATAAGCTATAGCACCTCAAACCATAACTCCAACAGTGTGATGAACATGTCTTTCAACAAAAAAGTGTGGATTCCTCGTTTCACCACGTCGCCTTCTAACCCTGGCACGACCATCGTGCATGCCTAAACAAAATCGAGGCTCGTCACTAAAGAGAATACTGTTCCATTAATGATCCCAGAGTGACCGTTGTCTGCACCACTCAAGGCGATTACGTCGGTGTTCTCGAGTTAAAGGGAGGACCCAGTGTGGCCGGTATGAAAACAAGCCAAAACTTCTCATTCGAACACTTCGCATGCCAATAGGTCTTCCGTGTTCTGCAAACCATTCATTTGCAATGGACCTGGTAGTGGAGACGGTCCCTTAAGGCCAATAATCTTAGGCGGCGATCTTCACGGTCTGTTGTTCTACGGCGGCGTCCAGTGCCCCTTGCTCTTTGCGTACGGCCTTCTCGAAGCCATGCCTGAGAACACCTAACCACAGTGTCTACACTTCTTTGCACTCTAACTGCAATTGCCCGAAAAGAAAGTCCAGCTTCCCGAAGTCCCACTATACGGCCCCTATCAAACTCGCTAAGTTGACGAAATCGTACAAGTCTCCGTACTCTAGGCATCGTAACCGATCGTAAAGGATGTCAAGAACCAAAATCCGTCAACGTTGATTCTTTACTGCGGCTGAAATATTCATTTTTAGAGCGTTAGTGAATTAAAAAAAAGCAGTATAAAAACCGGAATGTCCAACTGATAAGGCTGAAAATTTTTTCACTTGTTACTTACAGTAAGATAAATACATTCACCAACTTTTATTAAAATAAAACCATTTAAACTGGGTGTTCGGATTTATATGTCACTTAGTATATCACCTAATAAAAAAATTCGGGACTAATACCGAAATGATTAGCCAATTTGTTGCTTTCGAAAATAAGTCCAGTGGCGGCGGAGTAAGGGGCAAAAAAATTAAAATCGTTCAAACTTTTGTTTTGAGGCTCCTGGTCATTTTCCGAATTTTTTTTGTAAGATTCGGAAATTGGAGGTTTGGGATTGTAGGGCGTTGTATATGTTACGTCTTTAGTATTAGTCAAAAATGTCCTATCATTAAGAAGCTTCTGATCCCAGTAACAACATGGGAATTTAATGATAAAAATCCGATGTACTTGCAGTCTATGGCGTTGCGTGCAACGTTGAGGCCACTGCCGACTGCGCAGTTGGTAACAACCTCCAACTGGTGACTCTGCGGCGGTTTCACACAGGTACAGGAGAATACTTATATATTTTAGACATGGCCTCTACAATTTTTCTCAGGGGCAGCCGATGATCGGCAAGACTTTTTGGGAAAGTGTACCTGCCCTCAAAACTGTTTGAAGAGCGGGTGGGTAGCAAATTTTCCTATAAGAGGCCAAATCCTCAAAATCGTGTTAAATATGCAAATGTTAAGATCCAACCGCATTCCCAGTGATATTATGCAACCTGCTATACATAATAAGTATATATTTCCCCTACATCTGCCATGGATCAGAACAGTGATAGATTTACTTTGTATATAGGTCGAAGATTCATCGTACCTAAGTGAACCTACTTAATCACGATTCGACCCAGCCTTTCGATATGACTTGACTCGTCCCGGTTCTGTAACACCTCCAATGAAGGCGTAGGAAGTAGTCAATCTACTTGGCGAAATTTTTTTCAGA